ATTTTACAAGGAATATTTTTCGTTAGACCACAGAAGGCGGTTTCCTAATTAAAATTTAGAGTTATTCTTGTTTTTTTTTGCTTCGTCTCGATTTTCACGTTACACCTGATCCTGAAATTCAATTGGTCGTTATTACAAGGGGTGGGAAAAATGAACATTAAGACCGTTACATTCTTAAAAAGTACTCTAAACTGTATAAATACAATTTTAAGTAATTGACTAATCAAAAAAGGTTAGCCTAAACTAATGATCACGTGGTTTTGAGAAATAAAATGTCTAAATTCTATTAAATATACATCTAAATATGTACGCAATCTAGAAAAGTGCTCTAAAAAATAATAATCAGTTAAATATAGAAATTGGAACCACCTAAAATTTTCTCTAATTGTTTAACTGTTTTAATTTAGTCAAAATTAACATAAATCTGTCCCATAACCAACATAATTCAGCCCAGAACTACGGAACAATTTTTAAGAGACTAACGGTTCCAATCCTTAATTCAAATGCATTCTAAATATTTAACAAGTCTTGCACGTTCTGTCTTTAAACATTTTTTAAACAATCTGATAAAAATTTCAAAGTGGGCAAATCAATTTCATTAACGTTTAGACATTTAATCAATTCTCGTTGTTTAAGCGAATTACTGGCTATAAGACCATTGACAGGTTTATCAGCACCGGGATCTACATTAGTTCCGGTTATGATAAATCTAAGATATTGCTTCACTTTACTATATTCCAAGGACAAGGATACGTTTAGGTTATTTCATTAATTAAAACAAGAGAGCTAGGGATGTTAACAGTCTGGTTTGGTCCATTTTGGTCCAATCCGAAATTATAGAATATCATTATAGTATAGGTGAGCAGATCAGTATAGGCTGAGATTAAACTTATACCATATTGATCAGCTATAATTACTAACCCTAAAGCTAATATATATAACACCGGATCAGTATAGTATAGATTACAAAATTCGGCCTATACTATACTGACCTGCGTAATTTAGGTCCAATCCCGGTCTACAGTCTTAAGACTTTGTTAGTCCAGACTGGTAATTATAGTCCATAAGTCTAAAACTAAACCATATAACATCCCCTAAAGAAAGTCATATATATGATGTTACCTTGACCATTCTTCTTTAAACATTTCTAGTCGCATATTCATAAGTTCAGGAGGCAAATTAAGGTTTAATATTTCTGATAATTGGTTGATGTATAAATTAGACGGTGAATAAGAGCCGTTGACATTCACAATTCCAATGGTATGCTCATCAATGCCATTTTCTAAGTTGAATTCAATTGCCCTGTTAATATCTTTATCTTTGGATGGAATGTCACATATATGTAAGCAATATGTTAAGGAAATTCATCTACATTTCAAATAATGTGCACAACAGTGGCTAACAATGAGAAAAAAAGGATATTCAATAAACAAAACGTCGATTTATCTACTTCGCTAGGTATTTTTATAGTTGAAGGTATACACAATATATTACATTTTGTTATTGGCTGGTAATCGACCCCATTTTCCATTACCGAACAACCATTTGATACTAAATCCTAATAAAGGAATACGTCAATTAGTAATAATGTCATAGGAGCTATTAAAATGTGTGCAATTTACCTTGATTATTGAAACAATAGATTTAGTAATATTCAAATTTGAACCACGTATGATTAATTGATTTCCTCTAATAAAATTTAAAATCAATTTTCTAAAATTCACAACACCCAACATGTTTTGTAAAGATTTCAAATTTTCAATTCGGGTGCCTAATTCCTCCATTGAATTAGAGGGGATTTTTTTATCCACACTACTCTCAATAGGGGTATGATACACCGGATGCTGTGAAAGGAAAGATGTACCCGGAAACTAATGCCAAAATTTATAATTAAATCACTTAATTGAGAATGCAATCTTTTGTTTAGATATATTATTTAACTTTACCAATGTCTGATCATTTACATGCTTTTCTTGCAAGCGTCTGCCACAGGCTTTCAGTATCCAACTGAAATTAGCGTGAATATAAACAAACAAATCCTGTTTAATATGCAGATTAGAAAAATGAATAAACTTTTTTTTAAAAAAAAAATTAAATCAAATAAAATAAAACAGTAACCTTTGTTTTTAGTAAATCTACTAATGATCTCAAAGGTTGATTCGTTCTACGCCTAAGATATTGATCTTTTAAAAAGATTATTATAATATGACTACCTGTAATAATTGAACATATTATGTTTCACTTATATTAGACATGGTAATACAAACCTGGTGATGAAGGTGAAAGTGTGGCGCCTTCCTTCTCAAATATTTGGCTAGCCTTTAATTGAAGATCAGTCGCTAATGACTTAAATTTACTAAAAAATTTATATGAATTAATCTGACTGTTGAAAAAGATATAAAAAAGAAGATAATAGATTACCTAACAAGGAATGGCCAAGAAGCAACCAGGTATATACGATCAGTCATCAAGAAAATAAAACTATACAATCGCTGGAATCCTCTGGCTTGACTATCCTTAATTTTAAACATATAACTAAGGACATAGCCATTCTTATCATCACCAAATAACACAGGACCCTCTCTACCTTGGCAGAATTCACAACTTAAGCTACATGTATTGATTAAATATTTTAGGGTTCATCAGTTTTATCATCAATTAATCAACAATTGAAAGTTAATCAATTAAATATTACCTTCTGACACATGCTTGTCGTACCGCAGAATATAACTGCGGATGTTGTGGATATCGAGAACCAACATATGTGATTAAAGGGTTTTCGTCATCCTCAGTTTTGAACCCCTTTTTTTCAGAATAGTTAAGCACTTTTATATCACCTAAAGTGTCAGGCGGTGGTAATGAAAATGCGCAGGAAGCACAAGAAGCTGGCCTCGATCTAGCAGCATTCGGCAAATCCTTTTTATTAGAAAGAGTGCCATTTTCTTTTTCTGGGATAGTTCGGGCAGGAACTGGAGAACTCCTGCCATTGCTAGCAGAAATGCATTCTTCGATGTCTTCTGCAGCGTTATCATGAAAAGCCTGAGTACAAAATATCACACTAGGGCCGTCAGCTTCGCAAAAGTGAACAAGAGACACAATTGCATTCATGTTTCATATGGAAAACGTTGTAAACGCGAGGTTTTTATAGAATTCACATGAATGAGTGTAAACAACCAATACAAGGGTACCTGATAAGGTTTAACATCTTAGATGGTTCCCAAACATTTTAACATTTATGGCAGTCCGGAGCTCTTCTGCAATTTCCTAATGTGTCTATTCAAAAATGTAATGACATGACGATGAAGCCCAAACTCTAACGCTAATGCTAGCTAAAGTTGACACTCCATTTATTACGTAGTTGTCAAGTGCCGTCCAAATAAGGAAATACATTATAATATTCTTTTTGTGCTCCTTGCAATATAAATGGTAAGCAAATAACATTCTTGATCCACACAGATTTTATATTACGACTTTTCTTAGTACGTAATGTAGAAAAATCGTAATATAAACTGTGGAATTAACTATTGGTTTGGAAAAATGTACGTACGTACATAAAATGTATTTTACTAACTCCAGTGTAGAGGTTGGAACCGGTTTTAATAATTCGGGTTTATCACGTGAATTTTGTGATATTTTAGAATTTATTAAATT